ATTTCAGCGTTAGATATATCCATTAGGAGTCAACTGGGTTGTAAGGAACAATGGCACTAAAACAAGAGTGGCTTCAGCAAATAGACGTTTGTTTCTTCTTTCATGTAATAGGAATTCCAGAGGTATTTAAGACAGGGCTGGCTGGATGGCTTCACAGAATCTCCAGGCATCCATTTTTCAGTGGCGTGTTGGTAAATCAGCTCTCTGAAAAAAAAAAATCCAATTTGTAGTATTTTCCAATTTCCTCGGTGTAAACACCACCACCACAATTGATTTCAGGCTACCAATGTGTCATCATTGACTGTGGAGTTAGGAAGAGGTGTACACAGTGAGCTCTCGTGAGCTGGCACAAGCTGGGTTCAGCTCACCCCTCACTTGCCACCTGTCCTCCTCCACATGAGACGGTCGCCTCATGATCCAATATGTCTGCTGGGTTCCAGCCATCACATTCCCATTCCTGCCAATAGGAGAGGATGCTTCCTCACCTTAAGGACATGTTCCGCACGTCACACATAACACTTCTCACAGTTTACTGCCAATGTAGTTTTTCTTTCCCCTTGGACATCGTGTGCCCAGTTAAAATTGAGGATTCCGTTATTATGGAGGGAGGAGAGTGTGGGTCTCTGAGGGTAATCTTTACCATAGTTGCCAACGAGATTGGGCTATTCTGCTGCAGCCAGATGATCATTTACCCTCCATGTCGGGTTAGGGAAGGGGCCTCAGGATGCCCGACCCTGTTTTTCTGACACACAGAGAGAATGAGAGGTGTGTGAGTCAGGTTATTCCTGTTAAACTCCAGTGTGGGGGAGTGTTTGGGACTCAAATCGATGCTTTCATTTCTGAGCCTTTGAGTTTTCCTAGTGGTGTGGTTTTAGCCTCATTCATTCATTCATTCATTCAACAAACACTCACTGAGCACATACTGTGTAACAGATACAGGTCTGGCTACCACGGAGCTGACAGTCTAATAGATGAGATAAATGTTAAATAATCACACCAATAAATATTTAATGACACAACGTGCTAAGTACTAGAAAGCAGAACAGTGCTATGGGCAAATTCAACCAGGGGACTGAATTTATAACAGGGGTGGTCAGGAGATCTCTTTGAGAAAATGTGCACAGTTTATTTTTAGTGGGGGAGGGACATCATAATGATTCTCAGCTATTCCAAAGGGCAAGGGGAATTGCTGCAGCCTTGACCAGAGGACAGCTGGACTCTAGCTGGTGGCCAAGTGGTGGCTACAGTGTCATCTCTGAGACCCAGATAGACTAGAAGCTGCAGGAACCAGCTCCCTCCGTCACCACCCAGGCAGGAAATGACTAACCTCTCCTTTACAGTGGAGGGAAATGGGAGGAGGGAGGTGGTAGGGCAGGATGCCTCGGGTGGGAAAGGAGCTGGTTCCATATAAGGGGCTTCTGAGCAAATCTGGACCCTTGGATAGACCAGGGCAAGGACCCCAGAACTACCACAGAGTCAGTAATGTACACATATAGATGCTGGGGGATTTGTTATTTTTTTTTAACAATTAGGAGTTTGAGTTGCACTGTCTGGTATAATAGCCACTAGCCACAGGTGGGTATATAAATTAAAATTAAAATTGATTAAAAGTAAAGAAAATAAAAATTCAGTTCCTCAGTTACACTATCTCCATTTCAAGGGCTCAATAGCCACTTTTGTTGAATAATATTGTAGTGGACATTGCAGATATAGACATTTCCATCACCATAGAGAGTTCTCTTGGACAGCGCTGGTCTAAGGCACAGGCTTTGGAATTGGGCAGACTTGAGTTGGCATCACATGTGGCTGTGTGACCTTGGGCAAGTCACTTGCCCTCTCTGTGCCTCATTTTTATCTTATGTACATGAGCACAAAGACACCTCCCTGACATAGGACGTGAGGGGGCCCATGAGAGAATGGGAATGGGGCTCCAGCTCTAGGGAGGGAGCAACGGGGCAGTGGGATGACTGGAAACAGGGATTTCAGAGCCAGGGAGCCTGGCTTGGAGACCAGCCCCACCATGGTATGACCCTGGGGCAAGTCACTTAGTCTCTCTGAGACTCACCTTCTTTGTCTGTAAAGTGGGGGTAGTTCTCCTTTCCTCAGTGGGTGCAGTGAGGATGATACAACATATGAATCACATAAGGAACCTAGTGTAGTGGCTGGCACGTGGACAGCCCTCAACAGACAAGATTTGAACTCAGGTCTGCTACTATTATTGCTAATCGTCATGATATTGTAGGTGCCTTTATGTTGACATGGTAGTGTGTCGCAGAGCACTGAATGTTCCTCAAATGTTAGACATATCTGCACATGAGTTTCATTCATACTCGTTTCAAGCAGGTGAGTCTCAGAGCGGGTAAGTGACTTGCGTAGGGTCAGTGAGTACCCTCTGCCTGCCACCTGTCAGGATTCTCCAGTGAAAGAAAGTGTTTGATCTCATTTACAAATGTACCATGGATTTCTGGGGGTTGAGACCACTTTCCCCCACTTCTCTGCATTTGGAAGGTTTTTTCTCTTTGAAAAGGAGCAAAAATAAGCTTCATATGTAGAAGAATATTTTGGCGTGTCTGCCCAGCTTACAAGGCAAAACCTCCCCACTTTTTACTGAGCACTGAGCCCTCACAAATGGGGATGATCCCCTGGACCTCTGATTGTACAAAACACCTCTGCTCCCCACTGCAGCCACAGTGCTGGGACCAAGGTTGACAACTGTCCCAAAGTAAGGTAATCAGATACCTTTTCCAGAGGTGTCAGAGATAAGGCAAAGGGATGCTGGCTAAGTTGGGCAGTTTCTTTGAACAGGGGTGTTGTGGATTTGCAAGCTATGGGATGGTGCCTTTCTCCACATGGATGGAGAAACATCGACGGCCCATCTACGGAGCGAGACAGAGAACTGTGAATTCCATGTTCCTGGAGAAGAGGATTACAAGGGCTGAGGGGTGGGAGGCTGGGAGAGGCAGCAAGCAACTATCCTGGTTCCAGTAGCTTTCCTGCTTTCTGACCATGGTGTCCTGCCATTTGTGGTAGATTGCAAGAACGGCCACAGATTCTTCCCCTCCCATCAAAAAGTGAGGTCATTTCCCCACCTATTGAATCTGAGCTGGTCGTGTGACTTGCTTTGAGCAATAGAATGTGACAGAAGTGACAATTTGCCAGTTCTTAACCTTGGCCCTAAGAGGCATTGCATCTTCTGCCCTCACTCTTGGAATCCTGCCTCTGTCATGAGCATGCTTGTGTCTGCTTGCTAGAGAATGAGAGATGACATGGAAGAGTCAGTTACATGGCTAGTTACCACAGCTGAGGCTATCCCAGTCCAGACAGGCCCTAGGTAACCTGCCAACCAACCGTAGATGCATAAGTGAGCCCAGCAGAGACCAGAAGAGCTGCCCAGCTGTGCCCAACCCACATTGATAACCCATAGAATTGTAGCTAAATAAATCGCTGTTGTTTCAAGCCACTAAGTTTTGGCAGGTAGTTTGTTACACAGCAAGTGCTAACTGATACACCCTTGGATTCCGGGAACTCTTCCTGGATCCGTATATTAAATCTTCCCTGTGTTTGTTTCTTGAGCTACTTCAGTGAGTTTCTTTTGGTTGCAGCACAAGAGTTTTAAGAAATCTCGACTGATTGTTTATGTGCTCCAAGGGATTTGGTGAGATGGGGAGATGGAGTGTTGGCAGCTGGCAAGAGGAGACAAAAGCAGTCCCTGGGGCTCTCAACAAGATGAGAACATCCCACAGAAAAATGACGAGAAAACCTGGAGGGAGGAGGTCTCAAATGGAGCTCCCAGGGCCTTCATCTTGTCCCCAGCCCCAGGATTCTCCCCTCCCCACACTCCTTCTTGGTATCACCTGTTGGACTGATAGGTGCCCACACTTCAGATGCACATTTGTACTTCTTTTTTTTTTCTTTGCCACCCCACATATCGTGTCTTCTAATAGCAAAGAGTAGGGGGTTTTTTTGTTTTATTTTTGGCCATGCCATGCAGCTTGTGTGATCTTAGTTCCCCAACCAGGGATCCAACCTGGGCCCTCAGCAGTGAGAGTGCAGAGTACTAACCACTGGACTGCTAGTGAGTTCCTGGTTATGCTTGTATTATTAAAAATGGTAGTATAACTTCTGCCCTCTCCTGTAGCTGTGTTTATGAGATTTCATGTTTTTGTGATTTATCTAAATTTGTTCCATTACTATGTAGTATTTCACTGTGGAACCCATTGTATGAAAATACAATGAATTTGACTGGAAAACAATTTGGGAGCAGTGATAAAAGCTGAAGATATACGTATTCTATAACTGTGAAGTTCCACTACTAATTATATACTGAACAGAAATATACACATGTGTTCCACAAAATTTATCTTTTGAAACTGGCCATTGTAAAATAGCTGTTAGTATTTTTGAGTACCACATAAAAATTCATGATTAAGATCTGCTTGTAATAGCTCCTTTTGTCTAGATTCATTTATTTGTTTTTTAAATTTTTATTCAATTTATTTAAACTGAAAAAAAAAACCCAAAGCGGTTCAGCCATTTCTTCTTTGTCAGCCACACCTACAGTGAAGAGAGAGAGATAAATATTTAATAATAACAAAAACAATAATAATAATACATGTGGCTGACAGTCATTGAAGGCTCACCACGTGCCAGGCATTATTCACAGTTCTTTACTCCCACCATCTTACGTAATCCACACACCTACCCTTTGAGGCAGGTATTATGTTACCGTTATCCTTGTTTTACTGATGGGCCACAGAGCAGTTAAACGAGTCACCCAAAGTCGTCCCACAGGCTAGCATATGGCAGAGCTGGGATGAACCGAAGGGACCTGGCTTCAGGGTCCATGGCCTTCACTGTAAACCACGGGGATCTCTCTTGGCCCTTGATGGGTATCGTAGACGTGTGTGTAGGGTGCCTCCCAGCCCAGACCCCTCTTTTCTGAAGATTGCCCCTCTCCACTGGGGCAAACCATGCTTGTCCTCATGACCTCATCTCCAAGGTCACAGCTGATTGGACAAGGCTGGTTCCTTCCGGATGATGTCAGCATTGGTCTGCCATAATAGGTATTGGCCAAGATGGCGGGGAGGACAGGAAGCGACCCCTCCTGCCGCTCATGGAGGGAGGGATTGCAGGGGGTCTGGGTGAGGATTTTTCACACCAGCCCGATTTCTCGCCTTTCCCCTCTAAGCACATGACTTTGGACTCAGACCTGGGTTTGAGTCAGGGTCAGCTCTTTGTCAGCGGCATGTCCTTTGGGAAAGTTGATGGATTTCTCTGAGGTTTAGTTCTACTCATGTGGGAAATGAGGACAAGAATAGCACCCATCCTGAGAGCCATGACTTGAGGGCTCCTGGCACTTACTGAGGGCCCAGGAAATGAGAGCCACAGGGACGAAGACGATGTGGCTGCTTCAGCAGCAGCCTGGCCCTCCCCGACCCCTAGAAGGTTCCACACGGCACTCATGGACAGGAGACCTGGCCCCAGTCCCTCCCAGCTGGTCCACAGGGCCTTTCCAAACCATTTCAGCATTCAGATTTCTCTTCCTTAGTATGTCAGCTGCGAAGGCTTGTATCGTTAATGACGGAAAAGAGGCAGTGTAGGTTAGGGGCTAGAACTGAGTGAGGCAGTATTCTGGGTTCGAATCCTTCTTCAACTGTGCGGTCTGGGGCACAGTTCTCTCTCAGCCTTCGTTTCCTCTTCGACAAAAACGAAGGGATGGGCTTCCCTGGTGGCGCAGTGGTTGAGAGTCCGCCTGCCGATGCAGGTGACACGGGTTCGTGCCCCGGTCCGGGAAGATCCCACGTGCCGTGGAGCGGCTGGGCCCGTGAGCCATGGCCGCTGAGCCTGCGCGTCCGGAGCCTGTGCTCCGCAATGGGAGAGGCCACAGCAGTGAGAGGCCTGGGTACCGCAAAAAAAAAAAAAACAACGAAGGGATGAAGAAGCTCTGCCTTTGCCCTCATTGTGGCAAAGACACACCTCCAGAATGTCTCCTGTCTCTTTGCTCCCCTGGGGCCACTTTGGGAACTGACGAGTTGGATGGGCACATCAGGGGTCAATGTCGTCCTCTCCGAATGAGCTTTAAGCTCCTTGGGAGGAGGCAGTTGGCTTGGCTTCAGTCGTGCTGCGGAGTGAGCTCTGCACCTTGTGGAGGCTGACTGGATGGGAAGGAGGGAAGGCAGGTACCTTAGCTTCCAGATTATGGTGAAGACCGCGCTTCTGACCAGTACCACAGGTGCGGCCGCAATGAGGGCAAAGGCAGAGCTTCCTGACAGGGAGAGGGTAGGGTTCGGCTTGATGGGCACAGGGTCTGTGGGATCCACGACGGCTTCTGGGAACCAAGAAGGGGAGAGACTGGAGGAGACACCCTCCCTGCATACCCCCCACTCCCACCATTCCACCTCCTCCCCGTCCTCCGGGTCTCCACCCCAGCTTCATCCCCGCTCTCCTGTCCCAGTCCCTCCCCGACCCATCTTCCCACCACACAGAAGCCAGAGGGGTCTTTTTAAAGTTCACACTTGACCCTATTCCTCCCCTGCTCAGAACCTTGCCATGGCTCCCCAGGACTTCGCCTTGGCCTTCAAGGCCCTGCCACCTGGCCAGTCTCATCTCTCTCCACCCCTTACCTTTATAACCAAGCCCTGTTGGAGTCTACTCAATTTTCTAAGCTCACTCCACTCTCTCTCTCACTTCCAGGCCTTTGTCTATGCCCCTGGAGTGCCATTTATGCCATTTTCTCTCCCTTGGCCTGGACAATTCCTATGTATCCTAGTATCAGCTCAGATGTACCCTCTTCCAGGAAGCCCGCCCTGATCCCCTTGCTGGGTCAGGCACCTCCTTGGGTCTCACAGCCCTCTGAGCTCCCCCGCCCCAGCCCTGCCCACTCTGGTCATTACTGTTTGTGGACAGGTCTGTCCCTTACTGGACTGGGAGTCCTGTGAGGGCAGGGCCAGGACTGTCCCTGTCACCAGATGCCCTCAGCATTGCCCGGCATGGGCCAGTCACAACAGGTGCTCAATATACATTTCCTAAACAGCTGATGAGTGAGGAAACGGGGTCTTGGAAGTATTGTCATTCTCAATGAATGTGTCAGGGTCAACAGGCGCTCCAAGATTTACATTTTTTACCCTTTTTTTCTCCCAGGAAATCACCTCAGAACCAAATCCTGAAGCTCCCACTGGACCCTGGCTGGGGAGAGAGACAGGTCTCAGGAACGTAGCCAAGCCAGGCTTTCCATTATCCCTGCCCTTTCCATGCTCCGGACCTTTGCTCATGTGATCCCCGCGGCCTACATGCCTCCCTGCTTCTCCACTGGCAGCTTCTCTGTCTCTTTCCAGCTCACTCCACGAACAGAAATACTAAAAATAATATGCACGGTAACTGCTGCTATTCTTAAAGCACCTGCTAACTGGTGTTCTGCTAGCCTCACACATACACCATTTCAGTTCCTTATAGCAATCTGGCGGAGGTCTACACGATCACTCTGATTATACACAGGAGGAAACTGAGGCTCAGAGAAGGGACGTCACTTGTCCTAAGTCACCCAGCCAGGAAGGCACAGGGACAGGAATTGAACCCCATTTTGATGGGCTCCCAAACCCCTTTTCTAATCCCAGTTAACTGACTGTTCTTGTTACTGCCTCCTGAGCCTCCGTGACAGGCACAAAATTGATAATAATATGGATAATACTAATCGTGACAATGATACTAGTTCATGTTTATTGATCACTCACTAGTGTTGCATAGTGCTAGGCACTCTTATTTTAAGCTGTTCACTGGCTTATCTCATCGAATGCTCACAGCCACACTTTGGGGTGGGCACTATTATTTTCCCAATTTTATAGATGAGGAAACTGAGGCACAGAGAAGTCAAGGCACTGGTCCAAAATCACACAGCCAGGAAGTGGTGGAGCCAAAATTCAAATTCCAAAACCCAGGCTTGGAACCACTCATTATATTATCACCTTAATTTTTTCTCCGGCATGTGCTGAGACTCAGAGGCGAAGAGCCTTCCCAGATTCACACAGCCAGCAGGTGGTTGGAGCCGGGACCCAGGCAGCTGGCTCCAGATCCTGCCCTGAGCTTTCATTAGAGTTTATGTCTTTGGCCTGCAGCCTGTCATCTGTAAAATGGGCTAGTAATCCCCACTCTGCCAGGAGGATGAAAGAATGAGATACCATCTTGGCTATAAAGGGTATCAGAGGGGGCTGAGCATAGAATGTGGCTCAGTGGAATCAGGAAAGCTGGCCACTGACCAGCAAGGGTACAGGGTCTGGGGTGAGGGTGGGGTACTCACGTGGCAGCGTGATAGTCACAGGCTGGGAGACATACATTCCCTGGCTATCCTCGGCCAAGCGTACGTAGGTGCCCAGATCCTCCAAGGACAACCTCTGGATAATCAGCCTCTCCCCGATCCCACGAGGATGCCCATTGAAGGTCCGTCATAGCACAGGTTCAGGTTCGATGGAAGCCACCCACTGCAGGATCACTGAGTAGTTGAGTTCACTCCGGAGGATACCTTGTGTATTCCCCGGGAATGTCAGCAGCAGCACCCCATCAGAGTTGGCTGTGCAAACAGGGAGCAAGATCACATGGGTGGAGACCACTCAGAGAGGCTGAGCACTTCTTCTGTTCACCACAGAGGCATTCATTCATTAATTCATCCACTCATTCATTCACCAGCGAATGTGTTTGGAGTGCCTGGTCTGTGCCCAGACGCTGGATGTAGCAGAGCTGTTGATACCCTCACCCTCAGCCCTTTCAACTGCCAACACTGTATCTGTTGCTTCAGGGCTTTTGCTAGCTGCCAGAGCCTGCTCTGACCATGGAGGCAACAGGCCAGAGTGCTGGAGGGTGGGCACACCGGGGGGCAGCCTTCCACAGCGACTGACGCGGGCTGGTATATAAATACCCCAGCTCCCCTCCCCTCAGCTGGGCCGGGATAAAAGCCAAGGAGCTAGGAGGAGCTGTTGGATTCTGGATCATTTTGCAGGCAGAGCCCATAGGACTTGCCGATGGATTGGATGTGGGTGGGAGAGAGTGAGGGGTCAAGGGGACCTCCAAGGCTTGGGGCCTCAGCCACTGGCTGCTGGGAGGGCTCCTTACAGAGAACATATATAATCCTCACCATAGTACTCTTTTCGTGTTTTTTTTTTTCTTTTTTTCTCAGGTGAAAGACTCTGAGGTCTGGGGGTGCTTAGGGCCAGGCCTCATGGTCAGAGAGAGAGGCATAGCTGGGATTTGAATCTGATGTCGTGATGAGTGCTGGGAACCACCGCACGGAGATGATTTCCAACTTCCGTGCAACATGAAAAGGGAAAAAAACTTCAGTCCAACCAGAGAGCTCACAGAAGGCTTCCTGGAGGAGGTGGTGCCTGAGCTAAGCCTTGCAGGAGGAGAAAGAGCCCACCAGGTGTGGAAACAAGAATCAATATGTAACAGCCACCTAGACTGGGCTCTTACTACGAGCCAAGCACCATTCTAAACACATGTTGATGATAGCTTGTTATCTTCCTGGCTTGTTATATTGCGAATGAGACCCATGCTTGGGTGAAGTCATTTAGTAGGGTGTAACCGGCATTTAAAACATGAAACGAAATATAATAGAAAATATCAGAATGCATTACTCATAGCAATAATTGTTATTTTATGACACTTGTCTTTCAGTGACTGGTGGTGTGTGGATATACGGACATACTGGGTCATGATATGAAATGCAATTCTTACTGTGGGTCATGATTTTAAAAGCTCAGAAGCCACTGGATTTACTCATTTAATCCTCACAACAACCCTATGAGGTAGGTCTTATTGTTATCCCCCTTTTAATGGGAAAACGAAAGCTCAAAGAGGTCAAGTCCCCTGAAAAACTCATGGCGAACATTTGCTTACTCTGTGCCAGGCACTGTTCTAGGCGTTTGGCGTGAACAACTCATTTGTTGTTCACAGCACTCCTACGAGGGAGGGTCTACAGTGACTCCATTTACAGAGGAGGACGCTGAAACACACAAATGGGAAGTCACTTTGCAAAGGCACGTGGCTAGTAAGCGAAGGAGCAGGGATTTGAATGCAGGCGGTTCCGGTTTCAGAGCCTGCACGAGCACCAGGCAGAGAACGGCACAGGCACAGGTGTGGAGGTGGGCTTTTAGAAGACCTGGCCTTCAAATCACAGATATGTAGACTGATGGACCTCAGCAGCCCTTACATGTCCTGGTGGAGGTAAAAAAAAAATCCCGGTGCAGAAGCGGGGTTCCTAGCCGCCTCTCTCCACCTTTGCTTGTACCTGAGAGATGTCGCAGGGCTAGAGAGGCAGCGTGGAAGGAGATGAGCTCCTGGATCACAGAGAGTGGTGCGAATCCTAGCTTGGCCCTTTGCTTCTACGTGACCACAGGCTGTGGATGTCACCTCTCTAAGCCTCAGTCTCCCCACTTGTGCAAGGGGGGTGGTGCTTAGAGCATCTTGTTTCTCGTGCTGTTGTGAAATCCCCCAGTGTTTGGTCCATAGGGAGGGCTCAGTAAATTGGAGCCACTCACTTATGCTTCCCGTGTTTACGCTGGCTGGTCTCTCTGCACGAGCACTTTCCCCAACTCTTCCCCTGGCACGCTCCCACCCAGGCTTCAGGTCCCAGCTCAGATATCCCCGCCTTTGGCATCTCCCTCCATCTTTTCTGCCCTTCTTCCTTTAGTCACAGAATCCTACATTTTATCTAGGTATATGGTTGCCCAGGATAAAGCCTACGTTTTCAGCTTCTCTTATAGCTAAGTATGACCATGTGACTAGTTCCCAGCCAATGGGATGTGAGCAACCTCTGTGTTGGGCCATAAGAGGAAGGCATCTTCCCTCCCCTTCTCCTCTCCTGTTATGTTGGCTGGAATGCAAACGTGATGGGAGCTCTCTTGGGTCCCCCAGGCAGGATAGAACCTAGTGAGGACAGAACAATTAGAAGGAGCCTGGGTCCCGCCACCCTGAAGCCACCGCATCATCCCTACACTGTTCATGCCAGACAACTACGTGAGAGAGATAAATTTCTATCTTATTTAAGACACTGTTGTTTTGGGTCTTTATTAGCACACCAGAATCTGAACCCTAACTATTATAGGACTGAACTGTGCTCCTACCCTCCCCGCCCCCACCACTCCAAATTCATATGAAGTGCTAACGCCCAGTACCTCAGAATGTGACTGTATTTGGTGATAGGGCCTTTAATGGGGCGGTGAGGGTGGGCCCTAATACAATCTGACTGATGTCCTTATAAGAAGAGAGACTAGGACACACAGGGAGACACCAGGGGTGCACACAAAGAAGGAAGGTCATGTGAGGACACCGTGAGAAGGCAGCCATCCGCAAGCCAAGGAGAGAGGCCTCAGAAGAAACCACCCCTGCCCACACCTTGATCTTGGACTTCCAGCCTCCAGAACTGTGAGAAATAGATTTCTGTTTTTTAAGCCTCCCAGCATGTGGTATTTTGGAGTGGCAGCCCTAGTAGATTAATACGTCTCTAAACTACCTTCTAAGGACGATGGCTGTGGTTAACCTCAGGGCTTGTTTTTTCTGGTTCAGGTGTGAAAGTGCAAGTCCAGAGCTGAATAGCTCATAAGAACAGAGGTGAGGGCTTCCCTGGTGGCGCAGTGGTTGAGAGTCCGCCTGCCGATGCAGGGGACGCGGGTTTGTGCCCCGGTCCGGGAGGATCCCACATGCCGCGGAGCGGCTGGGCCCGTGAGCCATGGCCGCTGAGCCTGCGCGTCCGGAGCCTGTGCTCCGCAACGGGAGAGGCCCGCGTCCCGCAAAAAAACCCCGAAAAAGCAAACAAAAAAACCAGAGGTGAGTTCTGAAGGCTACCACCAGAGACCCTTGGCCTTCCCCAAGTGATAATGAACAAATATTTAATGAATATCTGTTGGAAAGTGTGATAGATGACAAAGAAATAGCCAGGAGACTTTGCAACTTTTCTCACCAAGCGGCGGAGCCTATTTCCCTCCCGTTGGAGCAAAGCCGGTCATGTGACTCGCTTTGGCCAATAAAAACATGGCAGAAGCGATGGCATGCGCGTTCTGAGCCGGGGCCTCGGGAGGCCTTGAAGCTTCTGCTCTTGTTTCTCATCCTTTGCTGAGTGAACAAGCCTAGGCTATCCTGCTGGAGGATGAGAAGGCTCGTGGCCCAATTACCCCCACTACGCCAGCTGCCAGCCAGGCCACTGCCAGACATGGGAAGGAGGCCATCCTGGACCAGTGCCTACGCAATCCCTTCCCCCAACTGGCTGCAGAAACGTAAGGGAGCCCGACTAAAATTAGCTGAGACCAAAAGAACTGTTCAGCAGAATCCTGAGCTGAAAATACAGTTGCTATTTTAAGTTCTGGGGTGGTTTGTTAGGGAGGATTGGTGACAGAATGGGTCCCGATGGGCACTGCTGACTGAGAACCGGGTGCCTCCCGCCATGGGGCCCCGCTCACCATGGACCTGTATCTGCGCCATCACACTCCTGCGTCCCCTGCTGCTTTCCAGCACCACGGTGTAGCTGCCTGCATCTTGAGTTGTCACATTTCTGACGACCAGGCTGCCTTGGGTATCCAGCGTCTCCCGGCCAGTGTGGCCGGGCCCTGGGAGGCCCTCAGGGGAGAAGATCATGGCTTCTGGCTGGGCCTCGTGCCCTCGGAACCAAGAAGTAGACAGAACCCCATCGAGGCTTCTGGGGACTGGCAGGTGGGCATCGGCTCCTTCGGTCAAGGGGTCCAGAGACCCAGAAGAGGGCAGCTCCGAGGAGGCAGAGCAGGTGAAGAATGCCAGCAGGCTGCCTTGGAGGGGGTGGGAGGGAGAAGAGAGAGCAGGAAGCCATGGGATCAAAGGCAGGATGGTGTCCCAGCAAGTAACCCTTCCTGTGCTGGTGAGAATGAGGGCCATCAGAGTTGATGACGACAACGGTGATAATAATAATAATAATAAAGAAGTAAAAAGGAACATTCCTTAAGAACCTCCTACAAGCCAGACACTGTCTAAAATGCTGAACATATATTATCTTACTTATTCCTACATCGGCCCCACAAGGCACTTATTATGCTGGATGTCACGCAGATTCGCCCTCCATCTTGCTCTGCTCTGCTCCCCAAAAGGCTGACTTCCCTGAGCTGCATCTCTGGGGATCCCTCGCCTTTTGTTTCTGGTTGGCTTCTGCCAATGGGAGCGTTGGTGGAAGACAGGAGGGCTGAAGGGAGTGACCTTGAGGTAACTGGTCCCACGGCTCCCTCCCTGCTATGTCAGCACTGGTTCAATAGGTCCCTCTATTAGAGATCCTATTGGGTGACCCTGTCCATACACCACTCTTTTGGGGTTTGGGGGCTGCTGTTCCTTTTACAGCTTCTAGCCCAGGGGAGGTAATAGCTTCCTGCTGTTGCTAGCCCCTGGGCGCTGCAAAAGCCCATGTCAGTTTACCTATACCCTGCCTAGTCCCCCCATTAAACTCTCCTCGTTACTCCTTTTGAGTGGGCCATCTGTGTCTTGCCTCACCTCTGACTGATACTATTATACCCCTATCAGAGATGAGGAAATGGAGGTTCAGAGAATTTAAGATGTTCTTTCAGAATTTCATAAGTGATAAACATTTGAGTTGTGATCCATGCCCAGGCAGCTGAAATTCTTAGCCACTAAACGATACTGTCCAGTGTATCCCCCATCCCTGTTTCTCTCATTTCCCCTAATTTTCCATATTGCATAGAGCATGGAGGCAAACCCTTGGAGTCTGGCTCCAGACCCTATGCACTTGCCCACCCCATTCTTCTGCCTCTCACTAGAATGGTGACTATTGCAGTAAGAACATGAACTCCAGTCATAAAAGGCTGAAAATTTTGACATAATAATAAAAAGAAACTTTTGCAAAGTTAACCAAAAAACAACCCACAAAGTCAAAAGGACAATGACATACTACGAAAAATAATCTGCAACTGATATCACAGATGAAGAGCCCATTTCACTACCATATATAGAGCTCCTAGGTATCAATAAGAAAAGTATTGGGCTTCCCTGGTGGCGCAGTGGTTGAGAGTCCGCCTGCCGATGCAGGGGACGCGGGTTCGTGCACCTGTCTGGGAGGATCCCACATGCCACGGAGCGGCTGGGCCCGTAAGCCATGGCCGCTGAGCCTCTGCGTCCGGAGCTTGTGCTCCGCAACGGGAGAGGCCACACCAGTGAGAGGCCCGCGTACCGCAAAAAAAAAAAAAAAAAAAATAGTGGTTATCTGTATGTGGGAGGTGGGGGGAAGGGAAGGTACATGGGGAACTGGGTGGGTGGGGAAGGACAGAGACTTCACTCAAGGCCTTTTTATATATCATTGAGACTTGAACCATGGGAATGTATAACCCATTCAAAAATTAAGTAAAATCTGAATAAATGAAATAAGAGAGTATAAACTAGGCTCTTAATTGTTTTGCACACACAAATGCACACACCCCAGATGGCAGGCTCCAGAACTGGATTGCCGGCATGCACGTCCCAGAACTTACTAGCTCTGGTGACTTTGGGAAAGTTAGTTAACCTCTCTGAGCCTCAGTTTCCTTATCTATAAAATGAGAATAATAATGTCTCTAATGATTTTCAGTGGGGACGATCCCCCCCACCCCAGTCCACCCCCCTGCCAGGGGACACTGACAATGTCTGGAAATCTTTTTGGTTGTCACGACTTGGGAGGGTGTGCTGTTGGCATCTGGTGGGTAGAGGCCACGGATACGGCTAAACATCCTGCAGTGCACAGGACGGGCCCGCACAGCAAGGCATCATCGGGTCCAAAATGTCAGTAGTGCCGATGTTCAGAAGCCCCGATCTAGTGCTTGGAAAGTGCTTAGACTAGTGCACTAACAAAGTGACTGCCAGATCAATGCTGGACATTCATTATAATTTTCATCATTATTGTCATTCTTGCCTCCACACTTGCAAGTACCGTAAATGTGCCTTTTAAGATAAAAAACACATGATAAGTTGTTACATTTTAAGGATCAGAAATACCCACTTACAGAACAAATGTGAAACCTCAGCTCTCTTCTGGGTAAATGAAGGAGAAGCCGTGGCCAGAGAGAACATCTTCCAGGGCAGGCGGCATCATCAGGTACAAACGTGATGTGCCCAGGGAGGGAGGGAGGGAGGGTGTGTGTGTGTGTGTGTGTGTGTGTGTGTTCCTTCTCAACAGCTCAGAAGTTGGCACTGTTTTCCAGGCAGGGAAACTGAGGCACAGTAAGCATGAGTCTCAGAGCCAAGGTCATAAGTGGAGAGTTAGGAGTCATCTCACCACAGGGTCTTCTGGCAGGCTCACTGCCCACCTCCCACCTCCATTGATTTTTCTCTCTGAGTCGGCAGCTGGTGTGACCTTTCTACTCCCCCTGCTCATAAACCTTCCATGGCTCCCCAGTGCCCTCAGGACATAGTGCAGACTCCTTCACCTGTCACTCTTGCTACATCTCTGCGCTCCGTTTTCCACTCTTCCCTCATCCTCTGCATCAGTCCGACTGAACGCCGTGCAGTTGCTCTAGCCTCCAGGCCCCTGCCTGTGCTGTTCTCCCTACCTAGAATGCTGTTCTGCACCAACTCTTTATCAAGCTGTGATTCAAGTTTTGGCTCAGGCATCCCGCCTTCTGAAATCTTCCCTGACCCTCAGGTGCGCTTGGTAATAGATACTATTATACAGTGTTTGGGCAGGGACCTTAATTGACTTGATGGGGCAATGGAAGCTCTTGTCAAAGTGACAGGAATAAAGTGTTATACCCAAGAAGCTGCTCAAGGTTTTGCTTTTCTATCTTGATAGAAAAATTTGTTGTCTTACGGTTTTATGAAACAAAGAGCACAGGGATGCAATTTGCATAGCTGACGTCATATCTTTCCGAGGTCCTATTTCGATTTTGACGGCTTTGAAAGGTCCTCCCCTGACCACCACCTTCCTAGCTTCAGACCTGAGCCCTTTCCTCTGGGTCTCCCTCCCCCAACCCATTCCTGCCTCACCCATTCTGGGTCATCACTGTCTGGGGACGGGTCTGTCTTCTCTCTGGACTGTGAGCCCCAGGAGGGCAGGGCTGCTGTGTCCCCAGCTGTGTCCCCAGCACAGGCTGGGCCCTGAGTAGGCATTAGGGGTGTTTGTTGAATACATGATGGAAGGGGAAGATCCCAGGTCACGCAGTCCGTGTTCTGTTATCAAGTTCTGACCCTGACACCGCTGCAGGTGCCTGGTGATTCAGGGAGTGTCCTCAAGGCATCTTAAGAAGAAAACCCCACATCTTAGCAATCCTCACTCCAGCTGATGTAAAATCATGGTTTCATTCATAGACTCCGAGGCCGCTGGACCTGGGTTCATAACCCTGACTCGGCTACTCTTTCTTCAGGGTCCTGAGCCTCAGTTTTCCCACTCATCAAGGAGGGTGGTTGACGGTAACCAACTGAGTGCCTGAGATTCAATGAGATTATGAATTTTCAGGGCTCAGGACAGTCTAACTTAGGTATTTAATACATATAATACCTAAATATCATATATACCTTATATATAAGATTTATATACTATAATAATATATATATAATACCTATAAAATATATATATATAAATATACTATAATAATACCATATATATACCTATAAATACTATACTATATACTATATATACAATATATACCATAATAATACCTTATATATAATACCTGTAAAATATATATATATGGAATTTCAGAGCTGGAACCATAGAGATGGTTCCAGAACTCTTACTTGCCAGGAGCGTGGCTATTTTATTTCATCTCTAATCTTCCATCAAATGAGAAAAAGTCTCTATTCAATTTTTCCCCGTTTGAGCCCAGGACACTCCCTGAATCACTATGTATAAATATAAATATAAGTATAAATATAAATACACCACAATGTCACACTTGACTCTCCCATTGTCTCAAAATCTCCCCAGAGGTTCCAGAGGCTGAGAATAAACTAACAGATGCTAAGAGCTCCCCATTCCCAACTAAGGTCTAGCTAACAGGGGTTACCCGTCACCAGTTCTGCCTGCACCAGCTGCTCTACCACCGCCAGGCCTTGGGAAGGGAGGGCGAGAGCTCATGGAGAGGAGGGGATAGCACAGAGTGAGGCTTCCTGGGGGAGAGCTGAGGATGAACTGGGGGTGCCCCCTGGGGCTGGGGGCTTTCCTCCACCTCCTGCCAAGTCAGGGAGGCCCCAAGGAAACCTCTTGGAGAGCTGGAGATGTGTGCTCCGGAGTCTGTGGGAACTTAGACCTCAAAGTCTCCAGGTGAGGGATGGAGGGGGAGTGGGCTGGGTGGAAATGGCCCACGCCTCCAGCGTTTGGTGGGATAACAAAGATGTTCACGAGTTTTCCTTGAGCCAGTGTGGATGCCTCTGAAGGGAGCCGGCTGGAGGCTGTCCTGGCAAAGAGTCCCATGGGAGACGACCTGCTGGGTGGATTCCCCACCCAGAAAGATCTAACCGTCATGCCTCAGCCACGCAGAAGGCCATGTCCCCACCTTACAACTACAGCAGCCAAGTCGAAACTTTCCTGCCCCTTCCTTGCTTTCCTCTCCCCTGCGCGTGGCCTTTGGGGGCGGGGTGGGCACAGACCTCAGCTCTGGGTGGGGAGAAAGGACCCACAGAGAGAAATAGGAACGAGGCCCACCGCTTGCCACCATGTCTCCGCTGCAGTCTGACCCACGCCAGAGCTGGAGAGGAGGTGAAGCCTTAAACTGTGGGCGGGGTTTTGAAATGACACAGAACTGGACTTTTTGAGACCTGGAAAAAGAGGCAATTCATTTATTCTCTGAGAGGCAGATGTGTGTGGTCTCTGGAAAGTGTGGTCTTGGTGGCCAGACCATCCGGGTTCGAGTCCTCCTTCTGTTACTTTCAGTCTGTGTGGCCTGGGGAGGACCCATAACCTCACTGTGTCTAAGTTTCACTCTATGAAATGGGGATCAGATAGCTCTTGCCTCATGGGGTTAAGAATTAAATGTTACTATAAGAAAGCCACTTAGAACAGGCTGACATGTAGAAGTACTCAGTCACAATGACCTCTTTATATTACGACGGTTATTTTATTATTGTTGTTCTTATTATTTTAAAATTATTATTAGATGTGGATAGCTAGGGTGAGGCACGGTGCTCTGGTGGAAAGGGACTGGGATGGGGTCCTGAATTCTGATTTTGCCTTTGTCAGTCACGTGCTCTTGAGCGAATGACCCCACCCCTATTTGAGCCTCACTTTCCTCCGTTGTAGAAGGGATCAATTGCACGGCCTCTTGGGGATTTCAAGAGCTCCTGTGCGTCGGGCGCCCGTGCTGCATGGGCTTTAAACCGACCAGAGTCAGAGCTCAGAGTGGTGGCGTCTCTGATTTGAATAAAGGCTCTCCCCGGGGATATCCCCTCTTTGTCTCCAACCCGTGGGTGCAGCCCCTGTCTCTCACGCACCTGTTAGAAGCATGCTTCTCCAGGCGGGGCTGTGGCCGGAGCCGGCGGCGCCCAGAGGACACCTCATACCGTTTTCCGTCCTGCGGTGGCTCAGGGGAAGTCGCCCTGTCGGGACTGGGGTCCCCTAGAGCGCACAGTCAAGTACGCAGCCTTGGCCCCGCCCCCGCACTGGCCCCGCCCATTCCCGGCCCAACCTCCGCCTCCCCAGGTCTCGGGCTCCAGCTGTGGGCTGGGAAGTCAACGCCAGGTGTGCACTCTTCTCTAGCACTGGGTTGGTGGCAGTGTGGGTGGGGAGCAGGCTGGGGCGGCGTCCCTGGAGAAGGGGCTCTCCTCTCTGCCTCCTCCTCCCAGCCCCTCCAGGCCGGGAGAATGGTGAAGATGGAGAGTGGGGCAGAAGTGTCCTGCCCCTGTAACCCCACATCAGAGGCAACGACCGGCCAAAGGTCATCAGGTTGGCGGTGTCTGGGCCTCATGCTGGCCTCCTGGCTTTGCTCCAGACTTGGTGACTATTGGCTCTGAGCCTCTGTAAAATGGGGGTGTTAATAACAGTGCCTACCCCAGGGGCAGAGGGGCCCACGGACATCAGGTACCCAGCAGAGTGTCTGGAATATCGTAGGTGCCCAATGAATGGCCGTAGCTATTACGATAATGCTAATCATTATTAATATTGGTATCTAGGATGTCCTGGAGTCATGATCAGAAGCCCCTTCTCAGAGCCTTGCTCATACTGTATCCTGAATTTTGGATTCTGGAAGGATAAGACACAAAAGCTTCTTTCTCTCATCCTTTTTACCGTCCAGGCCCATTCTTTCCTTCTTAAGTTAATAATAATATTGTCCAAATAATAGCTAATATTTACTGAACACCTGTTGTGCACAGGCCCTAGCTATTGCGTCTTACAGCTGTTGTCTGAATCCTCATTGTAACCTTGAGGGGTTGGTATGATCATCCTCATTTTCCAGCAGTGCACAGAGGCTAAGTAATTCACCTAATGTCACAGAGCTATTCACAATGACTTTTGTCAGTTCTTGGAGCGGGTCACCTCAGGGCCTTAGCACTGCTACTCCCTCTTGGAGACTTTCACAGATCATCTCATGGCTCACTGCATCTCATTATTCCCGTCTCAAATCAAATATCAACTCTCCACAAAGGCCTTCCCTAATACCTACTGCAAATCAGGCCCCTAGCTTCTTGCTAGCAAGACACACTGCTTCCTTTTCTTTTCAATATTTACTGCTATCTGAAATGACTTATTTCTTTGTCCGCTTGTTTATTATTTGTCTCTTATGCCCCACATCCACCTCCCTAGCTAGAATGTCAGATCCGGGAGGGTAGGGATTTTGTTTGGCTCATGACGGTTTTCTCAGGGTCTAGAACGGTACCTGGCACATCATGAGTGCCCAATTAATTTCCTTTAGCAAATGCATGAAAAAATGAGTGAGTGAGTGAGTACAATGAGAGTGTTGGAATTTGAATTCAGATCTGACTCAGAAGTTCATGCTTTTCTCTCCCAGACATGTCCAGGTTCTACCTCACCCTGGGGCAAAGTCTCCCCCGTGAGTCTCTAAAAGTAGTCATTATCAAGTGACGTGGTTATGTCTGTATTAATATTAGCCATACTGCCTCTTCTATGATTTTTCTGAAGGCCTCTGCTAGACCAACTAGCCAGGCCAGGGGACCACTGATGGGTGATAAACAAGTATTTGCAACATGATTAATAACCATCTGTGGATGAGGACCCTGTGGTTTCTGCTCCACCAGTACTCACTCTCTTTTATCCGGGTAACAGCACCTGAAGCTTGTTTTTTTTTTTTTTTTTTTTTTTTTTGTTGTCCGGGGGCCTCTCACTTTTGCGGCCTCTCCCGTTGCGGAGCAACAGGCTCCGGACGCGCAGGCTCAGCAGCCGTGGCTCACGGGCCCAGCCGCTCCTCGGCATGTGGGATCTTCCCGGACCGGGGCAGGAACCCGCGTCCCCTGCATCGGCTGGCGGCCTCTCAACCACTGCGCCACCAGGGAAGCCCTCAACTCAGTTTCTAAACAGTAACATTCACAAAATTTTATGCTTATATGCCAATTACATGAATGCAGATGAAAATAAAAACATAATGATGAAAATAAAACGTGTCCACATAACTGTGTAAATTTTTCGTGTGTCACAAAAAGAACACGAGCCCGTTTGTTGCATAACCATGGGAAGATACTTAACACTACTGAACTGTACCTTAAAAATGGTTAAGATGGTAAATTTTGTATCACGAGGGTTTTTTTAAATCACAATTAAATTTTTTTAAATTGTTTTTTAAAAAACAGAAGAAGGCCAGGAACAGTCATGTACGTAGCTTGCCTTTACAGTCTAAAATAAATCCTTGCTTATATTCCAAGAAATAGCTAAATTATGTAGAAATCATAACAAACCATCATCAAGTCCATAGTTAACTTGGGGAAGGGATTGACTGCTTAGGTAGGAAGAAAGAATGCAAATGGCAGATGGAATATCTAATAAGTCACTTCTCTTTCATTAGGGTCAAATAGCTTAGTCTAGGGCTTCCCTGGTGGCGCAGTGGTTGAGAGTCCGCCTGCCGATGCAGGGGACGCGGGTTCGTGCCCCGGTCCGGGAAGATCCCTCATGCCGCGGAGCGGCTGTGCCCGTGAGCCATGGCCGCTGAGCCTGCGCTCCGCAACGGGAGAGGCCACAACAGTGAGAGGCCCGCGTACCACAAAAAAAAAAAAACAAAAAAAAAATAGCTTAGTCTACCGTCACTAGTGATGTCATGTGAGTACTATGTAGCTCCTAATATGATGTGATAAGAAGGGTACTTCACCTCTATGGTATTTCTTCCCCGCCCCCGCCCCCAACAAACCCATAACTCCAGTCTGAGAAAAACTCAGACAAACCCAAACTGAGGGACATTCTACAAAATATCTGACCAGTATTCCTCAAAACTATGACAGCCATGAAAAACAAGGTAAGACTAAGAAACTGTCACAAAGGAGATTCAAGAGTCATGAAAACGACATGTGATATGGTATCTTGAGTGCATCCTGAAACAGTAGAAGGATGTTAGTGGAAATATTGGTGAAATTAGAATAAAGTCGAGAGTTTAATTTAAAAAATACACGAGTCCCACTTGGAGGAAATAATCGTGGCATGACAATTGCTAACATTTACAGAGAACTCAACTCTGAGTGGGGCACTGCTCTAAACACTTTACAAATATTAGTTCATTCATCCTTTCAACAGCCCTCTGAGGTGGGTGCTGCCATTTTCCTATTACAAAGGAGGAAACAGAGGCACAGAGAGGGTAAGTGTCTTACCCAAGGCTACACAGCTGGTGGATGGCTGGGTAGATCCAGCTGCCAGATTCTGGAGTCTGTGATCTTAAACATTATACACAACAATCTTTTAAAGTCATCTGCGGGGACTTCCCTGATGGTCCAGTGGCTAAGAATCTGCCTTCCAATGCAGGGGACTAGGGTTCAATCCCTGGTCGGGGAACTAAGATCCCACATGCCATGGGGCAACTAAACCTGTGTACCACAACTAGAGAGCCTGTGTGTCGCAAGGAAAGATCCTGTGTGCCGCGACTAAGACCCGACGCAGCCAAAAATAAATAATAAACAAAGAAATAAATATTAAAAGAAATAAAGTCATTTGGGAAACTAACACATTGTAAATCAACTATACTCCAATAAAATTAAAAAAAATAAAGTCACTTGGGCCTTCTAACATCCTTATTATTGTTTTCATCTTTTCATCTGAGAAGACAGAGATACATGGATGAGGTTGAATAAATTGTTCAAGGTCACACAGATGTAAGTCACATTCACCCCAAGCCAGCCTCGCTTCCTTCCTCCCATCCTCAGGACAATGAGGCACAAGGTCAGATCCTGTTTGCTTGGCTCCTTGAGTCCTTATAGCATCATTTATTTCTCCTGCTCCGTGTGTGAGTATGTGTGTGTGTGATGGTGTGTTGGAGGGGAGCAGTAAAGCGTCATTTTATTAATAACATGACAAATAGCCAATGCTGGGCAGTTCTGGACAGAATTGTAAAAAGAGCAGCTTGAGAGCCAAAAGAACTCCCTGTCCCACCAGGGGCTAAGTTTGGGTGGGGAAAGCCTTATCTCACATGTTTCACATTTCCATGGAAGGATGTCCTGTCATCTGTCAGAGGCATCCACAGCGCCTTCCAGGGGTTTTGGAAATATCTGCTTACATTTTGGTCGTCACATGCCTGAGGGTGAAACAGTACTGATATTTATTGGGGTAAAGATCCTGCAGTAATAGGTGGGACTGTCCCATACAACACAGACTTGTCTCACCTGAAAAGCCAACAGCACACCAGTTAGAAAGGTGGAGTTAGAGTAAGGCTCCCGGCTTTTGTCCCCACCTTCCTGTTATTATGAGATTGATGAGTCTGGGAGAGGAAACTAAGCTCGCGTGGCTCTGTTTTTGGTCCTGTTTTGTGTCCCTCTCTGTTTTTGGATCTGTATATTTTGGTCTGTTGCCTCCTGCCAGGTGATAAAGAGCCTATTGGAGGTAAGTTTATAAGGAAGAGAAACTAGTGGTGCCCCCACAGCTGACCTATGAGCCTCCTCTTTCATTTCAGTTAAAGAGATTTTAGCTGGACCCTTAATTGCTTGGAATAAGGACTACATTTCCCAGGTTCCCTTGCAGCAAGTGTGGCCATGTGACCAGATTCTGGCCAATGAGATGTGAGCAGGGGTGCAGTTTTTAGGTCATGCCCTTAAAGTAAGAGGGCCTCCCTTTCTCGTTTTCACTTTCTTCTGGCTAGAGTGGGGACATAGTGCGTTGGCATCCTGGGCCAAGGGGACAAGTGCAACAAGATGGAAGAGCCCAGGCTCCTTGGCACCTTCACAGAGCAGAGCTGCCCACCAGCTTGGGCTGTTGCAGGAGAGAGAAATACATCTCTGTGTAATTTAAGCTATCGTTATTTTGAATCTGTCACACGCAGCTAAATTTTAAGCTGTTCAGTTTGGGGGCAGCAGAAAGGAGGGGGAAGTGATGGCAAACCCATTGGGTCACAGGACTCGGCCATGTTCCCTGCTATTGCTTATCGTTCAGGTAATAAATCCATCATGTTATCCTCTCTCTTGCTTACTCCTGCATCTCTTTCTCTCTCTCAATTGTTTCTGCCTGCAGGCGAGGACAAGGGGTGATATTCACTGAGATCTTAAATCTCCACCCGGTTGCTGGTAGAAAAATACGTGCGAAGAAACCAGACGTCATCTGGACCTTCTTCTGCAAAGCAGGCCCTACCTACGCAGGGGAAAGGCCAGAAGTGGATTTCCCCGTGGATGTAGGAAGCTGAAGAGAAAATGTCCCAGGGGTTTTGGGTTGTGGATTCCTTTGCTCACCATGGGAGCCTTCCCCCTTCTGACGTGCCTTCCAGTACCACAGCTAAAACTACACTTCCTCACTCCCCTTGAAGCCATATTTCTGTCAATCTGACATACTTGCATGAGATTTGGAAAGTGAAAGTGAAATGGAGGTTCTGCTTATGATGCTTCTGCCATGAATTTTGGCAAGCCCAGTCACGGACGGGCTGCTCTTTTTTTTCTGAGGTACCACAAGTGACTGGCTTTGTGCGTTTTGAGAAGCTCTCATCTCTGTGAATCCAGCAAATGTGATGTGGTTCTGGAGCTGACAATTCCAGTACAGGCCTACTCGTTTTATTACGCTTCATAGATATTACGTTTTTCACAAATTGAAGGTTGACGACCCTGTGTTGAGCAAGTCTATTGGTGTCATTTTCCAACAGCATTTGCACACTTCGTGTCTCTTGTGTCACATTTTGGTAATTCTCACAATATCTCAAAGTTTCTCGTTATTATATTTGTTATGGAGATCTGTGATCGGTGATCTTTGATGTTGCTACTATAACTGGCTGAAGGCTCAGATGATGGTTAGCACTTTTTAGCAATAATGTATTTTTAAATTAAGGTGTGTGCATTTTTTTTAGACATAATGCTATTGCACACTTAATAGACTCCAGTATAGTGTAAACATAACTTCTATATGCACTGGGAAACCAAGAAATTCCTGTGACTTGCTTTAGTGTGATATTCCCTTTATTACAATGATCTGGAACTGAAAGTGTAATATCTGTATGCCTGTAGTAACAGCTTTTTGATTCCCCACCTTTCTGTGATGGTGGAGGCAGCAGCTCCCGTGGTGGGTCAGTTCTGCAGTTTCAGTTCTGCGGTTGGGGGTCTGATAGAGTTTACCTTTTCCATCAGAGGGCACCCAGCTGTCTTTCTCTGGCATGGGTCTGTCCCTTTCAGCCAATTTAAATTAATCCAATCTTAAGTCAAATAATATGCACAAGAATGTCACAGCACCAGATCTATCCTCCCAATATATATAAAACACAAGTGAAATAGCATCTCCTAAGTGAAAGCAATTTTTCTTACCTTGCTGTTTTCAGTCACAGCCATATAGCAATAGGAGGTAAAACATTAATTTAAATGACACAACACTTTGTTTAAATAAAAGGACCTAGCAGAGTTATGGGTGTTCTTTTTAGCTCCGTGAGGGTGGAGAAAGAGAGAAGTGACAATGAAAACCGGTCTTTGCACTTTTCAGGAAAAGGGAGTATCAATGTAGATATTATTACCAGGGGCAACAGATTATTATTAAGACAACCAGTCCAGATTTGGGAGGTATTAGCAACTAAATTGTATCACCCCAAATTCATACGTTGAAGTCCTAAACCCCCAAGTAACTGTATTGGAGACAGTTCTTTAAAGAGGTAATTAAGCTTAATGAGGTTATAAGGGTGGAGCCCTAAT